CTCAGCTGTGCTCTCTCTCAAAAAAAAAAAAAAAAAAAAAAAAAAAAAAAAAAAATTAAAAAGAACTATACACCAAAGTATTTAGGAGTAAAGAGTATCAATCATGTCTACAGTGTGCTTTCAAAATGTTCCAAAATATATGCACATACATAAATATACTAGCAAGAGTGTAAATGGTGAAGCACATGGGGTAAAATGTTAGCCGTGAATCTGGGTGAAGGGTATATGGGAGTTTGATGTGCTAGTCTTAAAACTTTTCAGTAATTTGAAACAAAAAGTTACATGAACACAAAGGCCAATGATCATTTACATTTGGGCACCAGAGATCTTTACACACAGGGCACATTTTTACAGCAGATTTGAAAACAGTAAAGCCTGTTATTTTGAAACTTTATAAATCTCTTATGCATAGTTTAAAGGCATAGCTTCACAGATCTAGCAATCAATTACAATTTCTGGATTTTTCACCTTTTAAAAAATTTTTTAATTGCTTATTTTTGAGAGAGAGAGAGAATCTGAAGCAGACTCCAGGCTCTGAGCTATCAGCATAGAGCCTGATGCAGGGCTCTAACTCACAAGCCATGAGATCGTGACCTGAGCCAAAGTCAGATGCTTAACCGACTGAGTCACACAGGTGGCTTTTGTGAAATAATATCTGGTTCCCCTTACAGATTCTGATCTCCATTCTGTTGGGAACGACAGTTCACTAGAATATGTTCTTGTCTTAGGTCACACACTCAGCTGTCCCAAGGGGCCGAGCCAGTGACCAGGCACGTGAAGTGACCTAGTGTGGCCTTAGGGAAGCGTGGGAAACTCACAGTACCTGATGAGGAGCCACTAGCCACACCAGCAAGTTACCACCATAATTATTTTTTTTTTTAAGACTTTATTTTTGAGTAGTCTTTACACTCAATGTGGGGCTCGAGTTCATAACCCCTCAAGAGTCGCACGCTCTACCAACTGAGCCAGCCAGGCATCTTGTGTTACCACCACTCTTGCTCAGCTTCCTCCCTCATACAGCACTGGACAATTCTGGATATGAATTATGTGGAAGAATGACTAGGGTTTTCTTTACAGCAGTAAAAGTATTGTGATTTGATTTTAAAACAATCCTGATCTGGCAGTACTCCATGAATCGCTCGTGAGTAAAAGGATATGATGTCTAGAATTGGCTTCAAAGTAATCTAGAGAGAGGGGAGTGGGTGCCTGGGAGGATTGGCCCTGAGTTGATAATAACTGGAGCTGGTGATGAGCCCATGAGGACTTGTAATGCTGTCCCTTCTCTTTTTGTACAAGTTCAAAAAGTATCAGAATTGAAGTTGGGAAAACAAACTCCAGTGGTCCCCAGCCTAACTCGCATCAGAAGTCCTCTCTGTGATCCACAAGGTCTCACCTGATCTGGCCCTGTCACTTCTCTCACCTCACCTTCTCCCACGCTCCCCTCCACCACTCATGTTCCAAACACACTGGCCTTCCCACATGCCAGACACACTTCTATCTCTGGGCCTTTGCACTTTCCCCCTCTACCTATTATGATAACTGAGAGCAACCTGGGGCTTGAGCATTTGAAATGTGATTAGGGACTAGGGAGTTTTAAAATTTTTAAATAAATTTTGGGGCACCTGTGTGGCTCGGTTGAGCATCTGACTTTGGCTCAGGTCATGATCTCACAGTTTGTGAGTTCGACCCCCATGTTGGGATCTGTGCTGACAGCTCAGAGCCTGGAGCCTGCTTTGGATTCTGTGTCTCCCTCTCTCTCCGCCCCTTCCCTGCTTGTGCTCTGTCTCTCTCTCAAAAATAAATAAACATTTAAAAATGTTTTAAATAATAATAAGGATAAAAATTGTATAAATTTTAAATAATTGAAATGTAAAAACGAGCAGTGTAAAATGTTTTTTCCATTAAACACAATTTTATAGTTTTGGTAGCATTAACCAGATTTCAAAGACTTCGTAAGAAAAAGGAATTATAAAATATCACATTATTTCTATATTGGTTACATATTATAATGATAGTATTTTGGGTCTATAAGGTTAAACAGTAAAAACTCAATTATTAAAATTAATTTTACCTGTTTCTACTGTTGACTATTAGAAAGTTTAAAATTAAAGCAGCTACTGAGGATGAGACCTCTGCCCAAATGCCAAAGATTTATCATTGTCGATATGTCAGGAGGGAATGTTGAGGCCACTTTTTAGGCAACAGGCTTGAGCAGTGGAAACTTGAGTGAAGCAAAAGGGCCCACAGTGACCACCAAACTGAATGCAGTCTCATTAAGTGAACTGCCTAGAAATAATCATAGGCCCTAACTGACCAATGGGCTTCCCTCAACCAGGCACAGTTACCAAAAAAAGGAAAATTCCTTATGTCGCCATACTTCATCACTCCGCCCTGTAACTATAGTCCCTCACCACCGCCTCATGGCAGACAGTCTCTCCTTTGCTGTCCTGGCCGCTGCTCCCTTGCAGTGTATTCAATAAACATATCTCCTGTAAAAAATAATAATAATAAAATAAAATTGTATTTGTGCCTCATGTTACATCTGTCTTGGACAGCATTACTCTAGGAGTCCTGTGGCTTGTTTCCTCACTACAATTTGCTCTAATCACTTAATTACAACATAATGACATAATTATCTCCCTGATGCCTTCCTCAACCACCCTAATTAAATTGTACCCCCTTTCTCGTTGGCCGCTTTAGTTTTCTCCTTAACACTTAATCACCAACTGACCTATTACAGATTTTACCTAGTTTTTAAAATTAATTTATTATTATTATTATTATTTATTACAGATTTTATTTACTGTTGATCTCCCCTATAGAATGTTGGCCCCATGGGGACAAGAATTTTCACCTGTTTTGTTCACTGCCCTGGTCCTGCTCTTTGACCAGGAACTGACTCAAAGCAGACACTCAGTTTTGAATGAATGAATGAGTGGCACAGATTTGTCCCATTACTTGGTCAGTTGGGTCAGAATTGCCAAGACTCTGCTGGCCCTATTTATGGTGACGCCAGGGAGACCATGCCTTTTCTTGGTTGGGGACAGCGTCTTGGTGTGGACAATATGCACTTGATGTGAAAACAGGTCAGGTTTGTGTTCTGGTTTTTCCAGAATCTGCTGCTTCCTGCCCCTCTCCCTCAGTGTCCATTCCCCCTTCTGGACAGCTCCTTGGTTTTCTTTGGAGACTCACTTCTCCCCCATTTTCAGCGCATATGATTCAGGGAGGGCTGACAGCAGCCCCCAGGAAAGCAGGTGACACGGGCCAGGGGAGCCAGCTTTGGGCTGTAAGGGAAGAGTGATTGTCCTGTTGGCCGCTGAATTGGTGGGATGTATGCTTAGAGGTTTTGAGGGGCCCTCTGGCTACTGCTAGGTAAGAGTGAAGCCAAACCAGAGGAAAGAACTGGGAGAGATATCATTTGTGCCCCCGGATCCAGCTGTCCTTGCAGCCTGGACTTTTCAGTTATCCCCCCCAAATCAGTTCCCATTCCACTTAAATCAGTGGGAATTGGGCTTCAGCCTCTTGTTCCCTGTGTGGCCTCGGGCCAGGGCTTCCCCTTTATAGCCTCAGCTTCCATTCTGTTAAGTGGGGACACACCATTGGGTGGTTGTGAGCATTAAGGAAGGGATGTGTGTTTAGTGTACATCCAGGAGCCTAGCAAGGGTTCTGCCTCTGTTCTTGAGTCTAGTCCTGTTCTACCTCTTGTCCTGATAGCATAAACTCTGAGGAGAAGATGAGCTTCGACACCTGAGGCTGGGGACTAGCCTACAGGACTGAGCCCTGACAATTCAGCTTGGTGTCATCAGGACCCTGGGGAAGGGGGGTTTCATAATCCTACACCAGGGATGGCCCAGCCTGGGAGCCCGCCATGTACAATGTTTGAATGGAGAACCTGTACGGATGCACCTGTGCCTCTTTGCCTGAGGAGCCTTGACAGGCAGAAGAGACTGGAAGTGGTGGGGAGTTAACATCTCCAGGAACAGTCCTTAACCAATGAGAGATGGAAGCTGGTACATAAATGGCACAACTTCTTCACCCTTTTGGTGGACCAACTTGGAGTGTGTCCCACACAGTCTCGCAGAGGTCCCTAGTGGGATGGTGCCCCCGATGCCCAGAGCAGCAACCAACTCATTAACTCCCTTCCCTGGCTCACTTTCCCACTCCCCTATCAGTCTGCCTAGGGGTCACCTCCCTAATAAACTACTTGTGCTTGAATCTTTGCCTCGGGGCCTGGGGGACCCCAATCCAAGATGGGCTGATTCAGTTCTGTGTTGTACACTCAAAGCAAAGAGATCTGTGGAGGGGGCTGCCCAGACACCAGGACTGCATCCCAAATTCTGAATTTTCAAACACCCAGTATCCTCTGAATGTTTGTGCCTCCCTCAAGATTCATATGTTGAAGTCCTAATACCCCAATGTGATAGTATTAGGAGGTGAGGCCTTTGGGAAATAATTATGTTGTGACAGTGAATTCCTCATAAAAGGAATTTGGAATCCTTATAAAAGAGAGCTCCCTGCCCCTACTGTCATGTGAGGACATAGTGAGAAGGTGACCATCTATGAGGCAGAAAGCAGGCCCTCATCAGATAGCCACTCTGCTGGCACCTTGATCTTGGACTTCCCAGCCTCCAGAACTGTGAGAAATAAACTTCATTGACGGGCGCCTGGGTGGCGCAGTCGGTTAAGCGTCCGACTTCAGCCAGGTCATGATCTCACGGTCCGTGAGTTCGAGCCCCGCGTCGGGCTCTGGGCTGATGGCTCAGAGCCTGGAGCCTGTTTCCGATTCTGGGTCTCCCTCTCTCTCTGCCCCTCCCCCATTCATGCTCTGTCTCTCTCTGTCCCAAAAATAAATAAACGTTGAAAAAAAAAATTAAAAAAAAAAAAAAAAAAACTTCATTGTTTATAAGCCACCCAGTCTGTTATTTTGTTATAGCAGACCAAATGGACTAAGACACATCCTTGGACATTGACCATTTATTACATATGTCTGGGCCATGTTCTCAGATTGGGGGGGGACCATTGACATAGCTGAGCACCAGATGAGGTGTCCTGGCCAGTCGGGCAGGAAAGCAGCAGGACCCTCCTGATGGTGGCAGGAACAATGTGGCACCCACGAGGAGAAGGAAGAGGAGGAGAATGAGGAAGGTCAGGGACCACCTGGATGCAGGAGGAGGGGCTCTGTGAAGAGAAATGCAATGTTGAAACTATGGTGCGCTGCCACTATGAGCCCCTGTACCCCCCACCCCCAGACCCATCTCCCGAGCATCTCACCCAGGGTCTACCTCCAACATCACATCCTGCAGGTTGGGAGATGCCTGCTTCTTGTCCTAAGGGGAGACAGCAGCCAGCAGCAGAATGGATGGAAGGGACACTTACTCTGGACTCTTCCTTCCTACCATAAGACCTATGGGGCTGAGTTTATTTTTCCTTCTTTCCTGGAACCCTCCCAACCCTCTCCAGTGTAGTGGATATCTGTGCCTGCCCTCCATCCAGTCTTCCTTCTCCTGGTAACAGTGGCTCAATTTGTACAGTGGGTGGAGGGTATCATGCCGCCCCCCTCTCAGCCCTTCAGGTTCTTATGTGGCTGACCCCATACGTCTCCACTTCCGTGACTGGGCATGTGAGCCAGATCTGGCCAATGAGAGCACTCCATCAGTTTGGCCACTGTGATTGGTTCAGGGTGCAGGCCATGACCCAAGCTGGGCAAGTGGGAGGCAGCCGTGGGACATTGCTGCCAGCAGGTAGGTGGCACCCTGCTTCTCCTTGGGTGGGCATACCAGTGGGAAATGAGTATTCAGTATTGGGCGAGTATTGGGGTGGCCATTTGCTGAGAAAGAATCCACCTTGGAGAAGTAGAGCCTGAAAGAGGAAAGGACTGAGCCCTGACAGCATTTGAGATCTCTTCAGCAGCACCCAGCCTTGTCAGTTACATAAAAAAAATTACATCCCCTTTTTTGTGTAATTCCATTTGGGTTAGGTTTCTGTCACTTGCCATCAAAATTCCAGAGTGATAAAGCTGGCTGAGGACCATCTCACCTGAGGCTTCCGGAGCAGGGAGCGTCTTCGCTGACCTGCTAAGTGTTTCCGGTGGCTGAAGCCCGACATGAGCATGTCCTGTGGGGAAATAAAGGTGTGGGAGTTCTCAGAGAACTAGTGACAGACACAAAGTTGGGCAAAGGCCAAGACGGGGTTGTCACAGAGGTGAGATTCTGGGGGAAGAAAGATATCTCAGGGAGAGACAAGAGAGGGACAGAGCCGAAGAAACCGAGAAGAGACATTACTTATTCATTCACTCAACAAATATTTAATGAGGGTCCATTACATGCCGGCACTGTTCTAGAATCTGAGGATGTGGTGGGCATGCAAATAGGAAAAGTCCTGGCATCCACGGAGCTTATATTCTAGTAAAGAGAGACTGTACATTAATAAATAAATGTACGATGTCAAGATGTGGTAAGTGCTGTTAGAAAATAAAGAGGTTAAGGAGTGATAATGTTTGGAGATCAGGACAGGCCTCTCTGAAGAGGTGAGATTTGGGGAGAGACGGGAATGAAGTGAGGAAGTGAGCTGGGCATGTGTCTGGGGGCTTTGAAATAGGAGTGAATTTGGAATGTTTGAAAAACCAGGAGGCTGAGATAGAGGAAGACACAGAGACCGAGAGAGGCAGGGGGAGGGAGGGAGGACAGCATTGAGACAGCAAGAAAGAGACACTGAGAGAGATAGAGGGAGACACAGAGCCACCGAGACCCCCTTGAAAGGGAAGTACCCTACTAGGAGGCACACAGAGGTATCCCAAGGGTGCCTGTGGAGGAAGGGTGTCCCCTACCTGCTCTCACCTCAAGGCCTTGTCCCCTGCCCTCGGGGACCCTGTGGCCACATAGCTCACAGGGAGCTCCTGGTGTCCAGGCTGTCTTTCGCCCCAAGGGCCTGAGGCCTCCAACATCCCCTGCCGGGTCCCACTCCAACTCTGCAGGAGTAGGGAGGCCACTGGGTGCCCAGGGCCCCCAGGCCCCACCAGGTCCTGGCCCGTCCAAGTCCCCCTCAACTTCCAAGTCCTGGTCCAGTGTACTGGCCTCCTCGAACACCTGGTCAGAGGACAGAGTCATGGGGGTTGTGGAATTGGTACCTTGGGTGGGGACTGCCAGTGTGGGCCATACCAGGCTGTAGCTGACCAGCTGGGCCTGCAGCCACCACAGCCGCCGAAAGATGCCGTCTCGGTGGGCTCTGAGGGCCCTCAGGACCTGCTCCAGGGATGCCCGGGCCTGAGGCTCACTCCGCTGTGCCAGCCCCTCACCGAATGCCAGCAGTGCATCTACACGCTCAGCTGCTCCACATAGGTCTGCCTGTAGGGCCTGGGGACAGAAGGTTGGACACCACTCCCACCCCCCACCCACACACCAGGAGCACCAGAGATCAGCTACCTGGAGTTATATCCCTTCCCCCTTCTCTTACCCAGACACCTAGAACATGGAGTAAACGCATTTCCCATCCCAGGAAGCTGGTACCCATTCCTGAGGCCCCGCCCACCCTCCCATACCGTTGCCTCCCACTGCCCACCTGCAGCTGGACCATCCCGCTCTGGGCTGATGCCCAGGGCCCCAAGCCTTGCTCTAGGTCCTGCAGCCGGAGGCCCAGCCCCAACAGGCAAAGGGATAGGCTGTCCTGCTCAGCCTCCAATACTTCCTGGCCAAAGATGAGGTGCTGGGGAACACAGGGGACTGAGTCAGGGTCGGTGGGCCAACCCAGACCTTGCCCCCACTTCCATTGCCACCCCTCTTTTGCAGGCTCCTTCTGTAGCAGAGTCCATCTCTGGTCTGCACCAGGGCTGCTCCCACCTGGAGTCCTTCCCAGTGGAGCCGGGCCTGGACAGAATCTCCAGGTTTTCAAGGCTCCTAGAAGTGTGGACATAAGGGGCCTGGGGGTCTGAACAGAGAGTGGGTGATGGGGCTGGATATCCCCACAAGGAATGGGACCGCACCAGGGTCAATGACGAGCTAATTCTCTCCCAGTTGGCAAAATAATAAAGATTTTCTATAGTGATTGGTAAAGAATCATTTTCTGGAGTGTCCCTCCCCCCACAGATGCCCAACACTTTTCCAGAATCATCACCTCATGCCCAGTTTGGAGGCCAAATTCTGGGGGAGAGGAGGTGGGGGCTGGCACAAGGGGGCCTGGATCACCTCAGCTCACCTCACGGTGTCTGCCCCCAGCTGGGTCCTCACTGGAAGAGGGTGCTGGCAATCTCAGGGGACCAGCAGCAGGCTCAGTGCCCCTCAGCCCACCCTGGAAGTGTTCGGGAGGGTCCAAGGAGTCTTGCCCCAGTTTCTGGGCCTGTTCTGGTCTGGGAGGTAGGAGGCATTGACAGGCCTCTGGCTGAGCCTAGGTGTCCATCATCCACCCTACCCTACCCCTGTCCTTAGGTGCCCCTCCCATGTCCCTAGGTGATCATAGCCATAGTACCTTCCCCCCTCAAAATGCCCCTGCTACTGCCCCCACCCTTTTGGGACCTAAGTTCCAAAGCCCAGCCCCTACCTGATTCTCTTCTCTCCAGATGCAGGGCAGATGGTGCATCTAGCAATGTCCAGTTCCCTAGGGGCTCCAGCGGGGTAGTTGAGGGGCTCTGAGGGTAATCTAGGGCCCAGAGGTGGGGGGAGGGCCATAGCTGGGAGCCTGGAGACAGAGAGTCAGTGAGGATCCCCAGTGAGAGCTCTTTTCCTGGCCAGGGGCATCCCCCCAGACCTCCTCAGCAGGACTCACACAGGCCTGAGGCAGCCAGAGGCCTGGGGGCAGGCTCAGCTCCACCTCCTCACTAGCAGAACTGGACTCAGGTCATTTGATGCCCGGCTCAGGTGGCAGCAGCACCACTTAACTCCTTCTTCCCTAGCCTGCCAGTTAGCGGAACCTCCCAGGTTCACCCCACTCATCCCACCTAAGGGGTTTCCCGATACAACCCTGACCCCTCATGAGCCATGGATTCTGCCCCACTCAGGGACCTGTACATCTGACCCCAGGACCCACACCATCCAAGGTCCCAGACACCGTACCCCTCAGGAACCCGCATCTGCCCC